ACACACACACACACACACACACACACACTCCTCAACACTTAAGTACAACTTTATAAAATGTGCATATCAGTGTTGTACAGAGTAAAGCTCATGTGGCGTCAGTAAAAAAAAAAAAAAAGCCCTTCAAAGTCTCTGAAGAGAAACACTCTGTCAATAACACAATAATTATAATAATAATAATAATAATAATAATAATAATACTCATCTCACAAATCAGAACAGTCCGCTCCTCCTGATGATTTCACAACTTTAACAGAAAGAAGAAATAAACTGCAGGAATGTAAAAGACATGATGAACAGCTGATGGAGCAAGGCCGCATTCACATCACAGAGGAAACCATGGAAGTAAGGACGTCTCCTACGGCGCCGCGCTGCAGCACGACATACTGAACACGTTACCTCGTGTTATCTCAGAGTGACGACGATGTTTCTAAAAGTAACGACGTAGAATCTAAAAATAGTATCTCAAGTATCTCAATATAATGACAACATCTTGAAATAATGACTTAATATCTCAAAAAGAGTTCCTATGTCAAAATGAAGAAGTATTTTTTAAAAATGACAACGTATCTCAAAATAGAGTTGGTATCTGAAAACACATAGAATCTAAACGTATAGAGAAACCTACTCATATTAATAACTCTGAAAAAGGCCTCAGATTAAATATTGTTTCACATTTTTAAGATACTGACTCATTATTCAGAAACATTACATCAATATTTCAAGATACAGATTTGAACAAAATACAAACTCATTTTCTTGACATGCTAACACTCCCTCATTATGACTCCTTAGTTTTTAGACAGTTTCTTTGTTGAGATACTAACTCATTTCTGACCTTCATTGTTTCAAGATACTAATATATCTATCATGTCACTAGTTTGAGATACGAACACATTATTTTTGAGAAACTACGTCATTGTTGGGCAATACAAACCCATTCTGAGATAATCACTCATTACTTTGACATACTGGTCTTTCATTTTGATACAGGAACTCATTTTTACAACCACGCCACTTTTTCGACAGTTACCTCAGGCTGCTGTCAGCCCTAGAGTGGTCTCCTCTGGTCTGAATCAGGGACTCATGTTGTTCCAAAGTTGTATAATTGCCTAGAGTTGGTTCGTGTTCTCACGGCAGCATTTACAAGAGGACCAGATCAAATGCCTTGTGTGAGAAAGCTGCTCTTGATTGGTCAGAATTTCCATGTGGGAAAAATCCAGGAAGTAAAGCAAACGTTGAAGAAGAGTACACTTGCAAGATAAATGTGACACTTTCTAATGTCACAATGGAGGGACAACTACTCAGGTTGATTTTAGCGCTGCTCATCGTGGACTATATTGCTGTCATTGTTCATTTTAGTCAAATCATACAGTTTGAAAACGAGGCGCGGCTCCAACTAGAAAACAATGTTTTGATGCATTGGATGTGCTGAATGTGCATATTAAGGCAGTACAGGAGGAGGTGCACTTTAATAATCCTCCAGGACTGTAACATGCTCATGTTTAACCCAAACAATGTGTCATGTGACTGCAGTTGCTTCACATCCAGGTCGCAACACCTTCTCACCACAAACCAACCGCACCAGAGTTCCTTTGGAACCGGACTGAGACCACCTCTTCAAGAAGGTCTCAGTCCGGTTGTTTTGGTGTGTTCACACCTGCACAAATGAACCGCACTGAGGGGGCAAACACACCTGAGTTTGACTGAACTGAAGCGAACAGAGCAGGTGTGAACGCAGCCTGAGATCTAACTCATTTTGAGAGATGATGTCATTATTTTGGGGAAATGTCTCATTACAAAGAATTAAAGCTATAGTGCGTAACTTCTACAGGTCCGTAAATGTCCGTTTCACCCAAGCCACTATTAGAGGAGATGACACAATGCTGATTAAGCCGATCGGCTCCTCTAACATCTCCCGGTATTTTTCAATATATATCATTTTTAGTATGCGTGTAGACTGGCGACATTCCCGCGCTGGCACACAGGAAATGCTTCCTCACAACAAGAAGGGAGGGGGAGGAAGAGCGGAGAGGTAGAGCGCAGGCAGAAAGCGAAAGCAACATGGCGGAGAAGCGGCCGAGACACGGTGCAGAAGTGGATCCTACCACAAAGGCAAGTGTTACTCTGTGTATGGTGTGTGGTGACTGGCGAGTGTTACTCTGTGTACATGGAAGTGCCGCCGGCTTATTAGTTGTAATAACGCGTTATCCGCTGGGAGGCGACAGAAGTTACGCACTATAGCTTTAAAGTGTATTTTTTCCATCAAATTGGTGAAATGAGCTTTTGTAGTTCATCTTTATGAGACTGATTATTTTACATTAATAAACAGAGCAACACTTTACAGTCATTACCACCTGCTATGTATTAATCATAAAGCCTACAGTGCTGTCACTCTGAGGGATCAGGACTCTACTGAACGATCTGAATTCTGCTGCCTTATAGACAATATTCATTTTAATTGTGTTCATGTCCTGAAGTATTTTTCCTTCCTTGTCTGTTTCACTGCTGTTAAACAGTTTGAACAACCACATTTCCTTCCTGTGTCATCATCGTATGTCCAGATTATCTTCAGTGTGAATTAACCAGGTGAATCCTGGAGGTCCTGATCCAGAACTTTCCAGGTTAGATCTGATTGTGTTTTTGTTTCCATGAATCAAATAATGTGAATACGGCCTCAGGCGTTAAAACACTGACTCCTCCCCCTCCTACAGGTTGAGCCCCGTTTGTGTCCATCCTGACCCCAAACACCAAACTGACTCCTGTCTCCTGTTCCGCCTCCTGTTCAGTCTGTGGACTCCTAAAGGACTACAGTACCCATGAGCCTCAGCGCTCACAGAGCAGAGTCCACAGCTTCAACATGTTCAAAGACTGTCTGACAAACATTCAGACTGGAAGACTGTCACCTGCAGAGGGAGCCCAGTAACAACAGATAGTGGATCCTGAAACCTCAGACCTCCAGTGGCCCCAGAAGCCTCAACCTTTGGTGGCCCCTAAAGCCACAGACCTCCAGTGGCCTCAGCCTTTTGGCAGCCCCTGAGGCCAAAGACCTCCACTGGACCCTGGAGTCTCAGACCTACAATGACCTAACAACTCTGGAGGCTTCCACTGGGCCCTGGAGTCTAAGACTTTAAGAGGCCTGAGACCTTTGGCAGCCCCTGAAGCCTCAGACCTCTGGTTGCCCCTGAAGCCTAAAACCATTGATGGCCTCAGACCTCCAGTGACCTAAAAACTCTGGAGGCCTGAAGCTGCTGTGTTAGGAGCTCCGATTGTTTCGTCCATGTTCAACTCTTTGTGGACGTTCTTTAATGAAACAACCTGACCAACACACAGAAGACCTGGACCAGGTCTACAGCCAGATGGTCTCTGGGTCTGGGGAGAGTCAACAGGGACCGGTCACAGGTGTGAAAGGTGTTAACGCATGTTGCCCCTGTGTAAGTTGATTTTACAGCCACAATCTGGTTGTATGAGTCAGTCTGGATTTTTGTTAAATGAACTGAATCTATGGAAAGTTTGTTTGTCCTCCGGAGACGTGATGAGAGTTCAGATTTCAGGCTGCAGCTGATTTTCATTCAGTTTTTGGTGATTTGCTGGTGAACAGATCAAAAGAAACAACATTTGGAGGAAATGTTTCAGAGTTTATGACCTTTTTCCTCAACAGAGTTTCACTGTTGTCGTGTAAAAACATTCATACTTTTCATCAAACCGTTCATGACTTTGCATATATGAACCACGTTCTGTCTGTCTTTGTGCCGAGTCAGCAGACGACTCCTCTCTAGTGCTTCTTGTTGATTCGTCGTGATCTCCTCAGGCCGCGCCTCCTGCGGTTCTGATTGGACATCCAGGACCGCAGGAAGTACTTGTCGGGGCTCCTGCGGCGGTTGGCGGTCTGGTTCTCCAGGTCAAACTGTCTCTGCAGCTTCAGGGCGAGCGCTCGGTCCTGACGCTCCTGCTGGATCTGATGGATGTACCGCTCGTCGAAGGCCTCCTGGCTGACCGACCGGCTCCTTTTCAGGTCTGAGTCCCGCTCTGAGTCCAGGTGTTTGGTCTTCTGTTCCCGCTTCTTGCCCCTCCTTGAGGTAGACTGGTTGTGGAGGCTACTGTCGGACTCCTTCCTCGGACTCTGAGAGTCCTTTGGCACTAATTTACACGACTGGAACCCAGAGTTCTTAGTGTACGGTGAGAACGACTGTTTCCGACTAAAAAGCGCTCCTCCTCCACTGCAGGATTCAGGAGCACCGACTGCCGGCTCAAAGTCCGAACTTCCTCTGAATGTCGCCTCACTGCTGTAGCGGATTGCAGGGACCCGTATCTTTACGGACTGTTTCTGGAAGGTGTCCATGTCTACGGCCGGGGGGTCGAACAGCAGCCTCCTCTTGTTGACAGACGTCACTCCGTCTCCATCCTGTCCCGCCAGCGACTGATGGGTTTTTGCATCCTCACCCCCGCCGTTCTTGTTGTGGAGCTCGCTGACAGGGCTCGTCAGCGTCGCCTTGGAGTTCACTTTGAGGCTCTGCCGGTCCAGTTCAATCTGCCTCCACTTCTGCAAGACAGCGGGACTGGCCTCATAGCTGGTGGCCTTCTGCAAGCCGCGGGTCAGGTTCCTTGGCGTGGACTTCACAATGGTGGGTTCCACCAGACGGCCATCAGGCAGGCGTTTGGGCGGCGTGCACGGCGAGCAGACAATGGGTTTGAAGTGGTTGAGCTCCTCGGAGATGCTGTCATTGCTCTCTGGGCTGATGGAACGCTCGGGTCTGGGCGGAGGGAGGCCCAGTGGAGTTGATGATGATGAGACGACAGCTCGCCAGGTGAGCTTTCGGTCAGGAGCGGTGATGGGAGCGGAGACCGAGCGACTGTTCTCCGAGGAGAGGAGGATTCCTGCTGTGTAACTGTGACTGATGCCGACCTGACAGACCCGAACAGACAAACCGAAGTAAACAAACAAATGTAGTCATTGACAGACCAAAGTGTGTGTTAGCAGACAGAAGGTGCTGCACATATGCATTAATACGGTTAAGCACCACAGGCTGCCTAACATACTCTGTCCATGAGGGCTGGCTGCGCGATGACCTTCAGCTTCCCTCCTCGGTCCTCCACCGGGTCGGTGCAGCTCTGACTCCTCCGAGAACCACTGAAGAAGAACACACAGGTGAGATGGTGGAGTAATAACACAGCCAGAGAGCATGAAAGCAGCGACTCCAGACCATGGTGCTTGTATAACTGCCGCTGCAAGATGGATCTGCGTTAGCATAGCACTGCCACCATTTTGGACTGAAATCACCAACGGGTCACCATTAAAATTAAAATGATCCCAAACTGACAAACACACATTAAACGCACAAATCAGCTTCACTATAACTCTCAGCATTCACAAACACTTGTCTTTATCTGGTCACATTTTCCCCACAAATACAACATGCTAACGTTATTAGCACAAGTCTATGGCATTTTACATTGTATAAATTAGCCTAGCAGCTAGCGAGCTCTTCCTCTACTCACATGAAGCCAGGAGCAACAGCAACATTTAACAAAGATAACGTTACAAAATTTGGCTCCATTACAGCTCACAAGGTTCACTGACAAAACAACCGTCTTATACTAAACACGTTTTCCAAACAAATACAACATGCTAACGTTATTAGCACAAGCCTATGGCATTTTACATTGTATAAATTAGCCTAGCGTCTAGCGATCTTTTCCTCTTCTCATATAAAACCAGGGACAACAGCAACATTTAACAAAGGTAACTTTATAAAACTCAGCTCCATTACAGTTAGGGCTAACCCCCTAACCCTACACAGGGTTCACTGATAAAACAACTGTCTTATACTAAACACGTTTTCCAAACAAATACAACATGCTAACGTTATTAGCACAAGTCTATGGCATTTTACATTGTATAAATTAACCTAGCAGCTAGCAGAGATTTCCTCTAATCATATGAAGCCAGGATAAATCACACACACAGGACTTAAAATGCTATTTTGTGGACAGACAAACAAACAGGTCAACGTGTAGTTACATTTCTGGAGATGTGCACGTCAGGCTTCGGCGTAGGGTACGACGTCTTTTTGACTTTTCAGCTTTGAACAAAACAAGGCCTGTGGTCTGTTGTGCATCTACTTTGGAGTGTGGTGTGGCAACCTAACGGACAAAACTTCTTCCACTCCCAAGCTGCAGCTTTCTGACCTCATGTTGGTGACATTCTTAGGTAAACAAACACATACGTAAACACAACGGGCAATATCGAGGTCAGCAAAATGATTGAGGTCACATCCGTATACTGTACGATAAGTGGGTAATTATCCTGACAGGTCTGATAATACAGTCATGGCCTTTCGGTCCAAAATGGTGGGGGCACAGCGCCGATGTTGTGATGGAACAAACAATCAGCTTTCAGTTTCTATCGGTGTAATGCTGGATTGATACTTCTGCATCGAACTGACACTGTAGCCTGACGTGCACCTCCAAGAAATGTAACTACACCTCGCGGCGACGCAGACCTCTGTCGATTTTTGTGAGCTGAAACCATTTCCCTCAGTGGAAACGAAGATTTTATTTACTTTAATTTCGGACTTCATATGAACAGAGGAAAACTCCACTAGTCACTAGGCTAATTTATACAATGTAATGCCATAGGCTTGTGCTAATAACATTAGCATGTTGTATTTGTTTGGAAAACGTGTTTAGTATGAGACAGTTGTTTTGTCAGTGAATCTTGTGAGTATGTGCCGTTACCTTTGTTAAATGTTGCTGTTGTCCCTGGTTTTAGATGAGTAACGGGAAAGTCCGCTAGGGGCTAGGCTTATCTATACAATGTAAAATGCCATATGTGCTAATAACGTTAGCATGTTGTATTTGTGGGGAATATGTGTCCAGATAAAGTTATAGTGAAGCTGATATGTGTTTGAAACTGTCTCTATTAAGCCATGTTTATTGTGTGTTTAATTTGTGTTTACTGTGTGTTTTGAATCAACTAACAGCACTTCACAGAAACCCTGACACCGACTAGTGTTCTGTAGGCGTGACTGCAGAGTGTTTCGTGAGTATAAATCCCACTTAAGGTGTTTGAGGCAGCTGAGTCGTGCTCACCCTGTGAAGGCTACCGAGTTTTTGGTTTTCCTGACGAAGGCCGAGATGTTTCTGATCCTCCTGCTGATCGGCTCCTCGTTCTCTGAGTCTGACAGAACTCCCTGCAGAAAAACAAAAAGAAAACATCCAGACTGAGTCTGTTAGTAACCGTCTGTACTTCTTTAAAAAGGTGACATCATTATAACTCTGAGATGTCTGAGCTGCTGAACGTCTCGATGCATCTTCAGGTTCAATAAAAGTGCTGCTTTGACTCACAGGCTCTTCATCGTCCTTACAGTTCCTCCTCTTCACCTCCTCTCTGTCCTCAGACAACAGCAGCTGAAACACAAACCACTGTCAGTCTGAGGCTACACGTGCTACGTTCACTGACAGCAGGAAATCGGACTCACCTTGTGTTTCCCTGTTGGTCCTGATGGAGCGTCACATTTTGGGATGAGAGCAGGAGAGACGAAGAACTCTGAAGAGACAAAACAAAACAACGCCATCACAGTTCAAGCTACAGAAAACAACTTACAGCTAATAATTAAAGTACAACTTTAAATTAGACGCTGAGGTCAAAATCCTCGATCACAGAAGATTTAATTACACGTGGTAACACTGATTTATGTCACGTTATAACACGTGTTCTGGGAAAATCGACCAGGACAGACAGACGCTAAAATAGGCTCACAGTAATGAACAGGCTTCTACATTTTAAGGTACGTTATGTTTACGACTTTTTTTTAATGCTAGTCAGAACAAAATATTTACAATCACCAAAACTGAATAAAAATTAGGACAATTTGTCCGAAACATTACAGGAAGCACCAGTCCCTCGGCTTTCTATGTAACTTTAGAATATGTACATAACATGACAACACCCAACTACATTTCTTTTCTTAAACCTATCCTACTTTAGGATATATACGTAACCATGTGTCTTTTTCTAAACCTAAACTACGTATCTTTCTGTATGTAACCTGATGACGCGCCCAACCATGCTTCTTAGACTAAACCTAACCAACGTAACTTTACATTAAGAACATAACTTAACGTTAAGTATGTAACACGATGACGCCCAACTATGTTTCTTTTCCTCAACCTCACCTACATAACTTTGTGTATGTAACTTTAGATTAAGAGTCTTTGACCTTACACGGAGTACATAACTTTGGGATGTGTACGTAACATGACAACGCCCAACCATACATTATGTACACAACTTTAAGTTAGATAAATAACCTTACATTAAGTACGTAACTTTAGGACATGTATCTCACATGACGATGTTTCTTTTTCTAAACCTAATCTATGTAACTTTAACTTTTCTTTTTGGAAACCTAACTTTACTTTTCTAAATCTACGTGACTTTGCGTTAAGAACGTAACATAACAAAACCCTTAAATGTGTGCTAATTTGTCAGGTAGCATACGACCCACTGTAAGAGGATACATCGACCTGTTTCGGCCATGCTGTGAGATCTCGGATAAACAGCCAATTTTAGGTGAAATTTACACTTTTCGATGTCGTACAGGGTGATGGTTAGCTAGCTAGCAAACAGTGGATCTTCTGCTCTGAGCATCCCGGCCGAAAACTAAATATGAGTATTGTTGATTTCACTATTCTGACCTGTAGCAACTAGGGATGGACAACACAAGCAAAAACACTATTCCAAAATCGTGGCAAGTATTCAACAATTTTTCGAATAATAGGAGCTGAATTGCATGTCAAATAAAGGGGGGGGGGAATAAGACAGTGAATGGTAAAAGTCGCATTAAAAAATCGATTTTTCAAAAATAAAACGACTATTCGAAAATCGAAAATCGTGACCCATCACTAGTAGCAACGTAATGCAACAGGGTGCTCAGTAAATTATTTATGAAAATAAATGTTGCCAATATTTAGTGATTTCACATTTTTAAAACTTCTGAAAGTTCAATTTAAGACATTTCAACACAAACAAGCCTTATTGTTAAATGACTGAATTTAATGCCTTTTAAGAGTTTGAAGGATTTGTGGGAACCCTGATTATTGATAGGTAAAAATGGTTTATCATTAACAGCATGTTTAAATACAATATTAGAAAATAACTACTACTCATAACAAAGATTCAAAGGAACAAAGCTGTCTGATTTGATTTAAGAAAACACGAAGATAAAATGATTAAAATCAAACACTGCTGAGACGATGAAATCAACTCAAACCCACCTGCACACAGACACTCGGATAAAGACCTGATGAAGTGCTGTGGTTCATCAGCTCCTCCTACAGCTGTACAAGTCTGGACAAGTCCTCCAACACCAACCCTCTTTACAGACCTGACCCCAAACTGTACAGCTACACTTTAAACTGCAGCTTTTATTCATCTAAATGAACCAGGTTAAAGAACAATGTCCACTGGGCTCTGATTTAACTGCTGCTCTCATCGCCACAGTCTGACTCAGCTGACTGGAGGTCAGTGAATAAGAAGAAGAATAAAACAGATTTTAATTCAGAGCGTTTGGTAAATAATGTGAATATGTAACTAACATTTCTCCTGTCAGACCTGAATAAAGTCTCCAGGCCTCCTGCTGCTGCTCACACTAAACTTGGACTAAAGTTACACTGAACACCGTCAAACTGTTTTTCTGGCGGTCGGTTTGTGAAACAAACACCGAGCGGCGGTGCTCACACGGCGGCCACTAAGCTGCACCTCCCCCGGTAAACACACCGACCTCTCCGGCTGTCGCAGTCCCTCCTGCCCGGCCTGCTGCTGCTCCTCTCGGGGTCACTCCTCCTCCGGAACCGCTCTCCGCTGCCGGAGTGTCTCTGGGCTCGGCACGGCGGACAGGCCGGGTGTCCGCAGGGCGGGCTGCCGCCGGGCTGCCCCTCCGCGCGCGCCGAGCACTTCTTCGCCTCGTTCTCCGGAGGGCTGGACCCGGACCCAGACCCGGACCGGTACTTGCCGGCGGCGGCGGCGGCGCTAGCCGGTCTGCCAGGCCGTTCGGCGGACCCTGCGGTCGCCATCTTCCCTGGTGAGTCTTCTCTCTCCGGTCCGCTCTCAAAACAAACCCCGCCCTGCCGCCGCCGAAACAGCGCGAGCGAGCGCAGATTGGACGCGCGTGCAGCCCGCCAACCGCGGAGCTGGAACACGGCGCGAGCCCTTCAAAATAAATCGCGTTTATATATTTATTATATAATGACCGCAACGCGCCTAACTATGAAATATATATTGAATATAAGTTAATATACTATTTAAATAGCAAATATATCTTAGAGCTGACATATAAAACAAATGTTATCAAAATGTAAAGCTTAATGTCAGACAAGTTCTTTGTACAATAGAATATATATATGTATACACACACACACACACACACATATTTATATATATATATATATATATATATATATAAATATGTATATACAATGTGTTGTAAAATAGATGTTTTCTTTGGTGCACATTCTAACCCTGGCAGCCAAATTGACTTGGCCCAACATCGGCCTGAACTCAGCACAAGACAAAGTTGGCTGCATCCGGTTGCCCTCTATGACTTGAGAGACTCGGGATGCCGTCCCAGAATCGGGCCAAAAAAACTGTTGCAGCAAAATAACTTGGCCCAATTCTGGCTAGCGATACGGGCACCATGGGCCCTTATCAAAATGACCAGGCCCACTATTGGTCCAAACTCTGCATGTCAAAAGAGGTTAGCCGGCTGCATGCAGCTGAGACTCAAGACAAAGGACCCCCCAGAATTGGGCCAAATTAACTGGCCTGATCCCGACTGCCGGCACTGCCATCACTGGGCCCTTATCAACAATGACTTGGCCCTCCATCGTCCCAAACTTGGCATGCCAAAAGGAACAAGTCAGTTGCATCCGGCTGCCCAACTCTGCTGAGACTTGAAATAAATGACCCCGTAGAATCGGGCTGAATACCTGGTGACTGCCGACACTGCCATCACTGGGCCCTTATCAACAATGACACGGCCCAGCTTCTGTCCAATCTCAGCATGCCTGAAGAAAGAAGTTGGGCCACATCCGGTTGCCAGACTCCACTGCATTACATCAGCATTTAATAGACTATTCCCCCAGATGTCATAGAAACTTATTTCAAAATAAATCGTAAGGTTTATCCACCTGTAGAATTTCTTCAGAAAAAACTCAGACTGAAGTGAACATGTTTATTTTATAGCTACTGTGACAGACAGGTACTTCTCTTATTTTATGATAAGTCGTCTAGTTCTGATATGATTAATGTGATTATTCTTATGGATACATATCTGGTATGAAATGGAGAAACAGTCAGGCCTCCTTATATTGGTTCATAAATTATTTCAAATCATTTTTCTTGTCAAAGATTTGTGGGGATGTTTCTTGTCTCTTGGTGTGTTGATTTATTTTTGAAGTCTTTACTCCTCTGTGCTTTTTTTCCTAATCTATGACAAGTAATTAAGAAATGACTGTTTAATTATATATTTTATTTTGTCTTTAATATAAATACTCCATATTCAGTAGTGGAGGAAGGTATTCTCTTTCTTTGCTAAAGTAAAAGTACTAATGCCACACTGTGAAAACACTCACTATGTATTCTATGTATTTATTTAATGTATTAGAAAAATCTAAAGCAAACAAACAAACAAACAAACAAAACAAAACAAATAAACAAACAAAACCCTCAAAGCTATTATGAAGAAAAATAGAAAATGGCTTAAATGTTTTTCAATTCATTGTGGTAATTTTCTGCCAATTTGTTAATATATTTACCAACTCATTTTTTTAACTGTACTTGTATAAACTGTTGGGTAGTTTAATTTAATTTCATTTAATTTCATTTAATCTAACCTTATTTTAACTTAATTTAATATAGTCTATAACAAAATGTCATATTTCATAAACTCTTCTTGTGTTCTTTGTATTCAAAAATCTTAATTCCCAAATTAACTAAAGCTGTCAGGTATAATTAAAAGTACATATTTTCCCTCTAAGATACAGTGGAGCAAAAGTAATTGTCATGAAAATAAATGACTCATACAAGTACCATAAATTTGTACATAAGTATACTTATAAAATAATATTACGAAATACGATGTACTTTGTAATATTCCACCACTGCTCTTATTTTATTTCTTTCCTTCATCTATTTTAAAAATGTTTATATTGTTGTATTTTGTATTGACTGCTTGTATGTTCTGTGTGTTCACTAAAAAAAATATATTTTTTAACCTGAGCTAATAACTACACATTCCTAATAAACAAAATGAACTTGTTTTATTGTGAAAGGTTCCACTTTCCGGCGGGCAGGTGGCAGCAGAGTGCTGCATAAACCGGAAGCAGATTACACCGTCGAGGAAGAAGGCGGAATAATAACAACTATGGCGGCTCGTGAGGAGAGGAGCCGGCAGAGGAGGATTTCTGAGATCTGACCGGTGACGTTAGAGAAGTCATACAGGTAAACACACCTGAGATCAAACTAATTCAATGTGAGGAAACTGACGTGATTAAAACCGGAAACGGTCAGAGAGTCTGAAGCTGAGTTTGAGTTGACTGTCAGTCAGTGAGGTCACACTGTCCTCACTATAAAGTCATTACATTTAACGAGAGACATGTTTGAGGGATTTAAGGGGGATCGTTCATTGATGAATTTATTAATTATAATTTACAGTATTAAAATATTTTTAATGGATTATTAACGGAGTTTTTAAGGGGTAAAATTCCCTTAAATTTGACCAAATAACATGAAAACTCATTAAGTGGAAATTCATGGATGGATTTAATGTTTTTTTAACTGTCAAATGTGCAAATAATTAACATACCTTCATATATTATTATATAAATATTATATATTTATCAAAAAATTGTAATTGTATGATGAATATCTGAATTTGTGCCCAGCTGATAAAATTAAAGTCTTTAAAGGCACAAATTAAAGGGTTATTTGGATTTTATGAAGTTACTTTTAAAACTAAACAAAAACTAAACCCCTTACAGAGATAAACCATTAAACAATAATATAAGCTTGAATTTAAAGCCATTTTAAGGTACAAATCACGGGGTGTCTGTGACGTTGTTTTGTAAAGTTTAAAGGGCCAGTGTGTAATATTTGGCATGGTTTATTGTCAATCTGAATCTGAATCTGAATATTCTACCCATTAATATGTTTATACAAGTGTATAATCGCTATAAAATAAAATTTGTTTGGTTTTCGTAGCCTTATAATTATGCTTTTATATATATATATATATATATATATATATGTAGCAAGGGCCTTGCTTTAGAGAGGTCGCCATCTTGCGCCGCCATGTATGTACGGCAGACCGAGTGGACAATCCAGCCAGCCAGAGAACGCGTTTCATGTGTATAAATGAACCAATGAAGACAGCGGAAGGAAGGAAGAAGGAGGAGGAAACAGCAGAGAGTGTTAGTAGTTCGTCGATAGAGAGTAGTGAAAAGTTTTTTTAGTTATAAAGTTTGCGAATGGACCACACTTACCATGCAACAGGAGAGAATGAACGAGTATGTGTGTATGAAGTGTGTCTGTTACGCTAGAAGAGTCAGAGTTTGGGACGGAGTCTTTTACACCCTGGAGTTTTTGGAGTGCTCAAATAAACGGGCCTTTTTCCGGAACGCTCCTCTGGTCTCCTGCTCGTGAGGGATTCATTACAATATTGTAACATGGTTTAGATTTCTAAATAAATATTCACCTCGTCGCTAGATAGACCTACTCCTGAAAAACTTGTGCGCAAGGCTTTTTGTCCCTACGAGGCCACCGTCATTTACCTGACGGGAGGGGTGAGTGAGTGAGCCCTGCAATCTAGAATTTGACCACTGATGTCACTGTTTTCAACCCATTTTACACACTGGCCCTTTAAGAACATTTTAGCCTCTTAAATTTTACAAGCCCCTTTAATCCCTGTGGGCCCCAAATCTGGGTAAACCTGTTCGGTCTCCTGGTCTGGTTCCAGACCTGGTCTCCTGGGTCTGATACCAGCCCTGGTCTTCTGGTCTGGGTTAAGTCCTTGACTCCTGTTCTGGTTACAGTCCTAGTCTCCTGTTGCAGTTCCAGTCCTGGTTTCCTTTTCTGATTCCAGTTCCAGTCTCCTGTTGTGGTTCCAGGCCTGGTCTCCTGGTCTCAGTCTGATTTCAGAACAGGTCTCCTGGTTTGGTTTCAGTCCTGGTCTCCTGGTCTGGTTTCAGTCCTAGTCTCCTATTCTGGTCCCAGACCTGATTTGGTTCCGGTCCCAGTCTTCTGTTCAAGTTGCAGTCCTGGTTTGTTCAGGTTGAAGTCCCGGTCTTGTGGTCTGGTTCCAGCCTCTTTTTTTCTGGTCTGGTTCCAGTCCTGGTCTCCTGTTGTTTGTTTCAGTCCTGGTATCTGTTATGGTTTCAGCTCTGGTTTCTTGGTCTGATTCCAGCCCTGTTTTCCTGGCCTTGTTCCAGTCCTGGATGCAGGGCAGCAGCAGGCCGGTGGTGGAGGTGGTCCGTCTGGGCCTTGTCTCCTACCAGGAGGCTCTGCGGCTCCAGCAGGTCTATGTCAACCGGCACCGGTTAGGTACAGCTCACGCTCTGCTGCTGTGTCAGCACCCGCCAGTCTACACCACCGGGATTCGCCACAAACCTTACCCCGCCCCCTTGCTGGACCGCCTCCACCTGCTGGGGGCTGACGTCCACCGCACCAACCGAGGAGGACTCATCACGTTCCACGGGCCGGGACAGCTGGTGTGCTATCCAGTCCTCCACCTGGCCAGCTTCAAGAAGGTCTGATCTGGTCTGTTGTTGGGTTTCATGTAGTTTTCATGTGACATGTATTAACATGTGATCTGTCCTCTCAGAGCGTCCGCTGGTACGTCTGCGAACTGGAGAAGACCATCATCTCCGTCTGCAGCAGGTTTGGTATCAAAGCTTCGACATCCCCTCACACTGGAGTTTGGGTCAGAGACAGCAAGATCTGTGCCATCGGTAAGTAAACGCAATGTTACCCCTCTCGGTCGTCAGGCCTCACACAGGAACTGGTCCTTTTCCTGAATATCTCTGACTGCATTCTGTTATGACTGTTTATTGAAAGTCAGGCTGTAAACCGTCGACAAATTATGGGATATTTGCCAATATTGTTTATTACGGAACGTAGACCCCTGAATTAAATCAAAATTGTATCGTGGCAGACTGTTTCGTCATGAGTCGTTATGAGTTCATAACCACATTTGAAGATGTCACCTTTCCTGGTTCCAGTCCGTTTCTCCTAGTCTGAGTCCAGCCTTGGTCTCCTTGTCTGGTTGCACACCCGGTCTCCTGTTCTGGTTCAAGTCCCTCTCTCTAGTTCTGGTTTCAGTCCTGCTCTCCTGGTGTGGTTCCAGTCTCGGTCTCCTGTCCTAGTTCAAGTCCTGTTTTCTTGGTCTGGTTCCAGTCTTGGTCTCCTGTTCTGGTTCCATATCCAGTCTCCTGGTCTGGTTCTAGTCCAGGTCTCCTGTTCTAGTTCAAGACCTGGTATGGTTCCAGTCCTGGTCTCCTATTCTGGTTTAAGTCTTGTTCTCCTGATCTGTTTACAGACCTGATCTCTTGTTCTGGTGCCAGTCTTTTTCTCCTGGTCTGGTTCCAGTCTTGGTGTCCTGTCTTGGTTTAGACCCAGTCTTCTGCTATGGTTTCAGTCCTGGTCTCCTGTTCTGGTTCCAGACCCAGAACCTGAGTTTGATTGAACAGGGCAGGTGTGAAGGCACCCTGAAACAACGGCTGATCCGACAGACATCTGTCCAGATTCTGACATTCGTCAGGAGCGACCAGTTCAGGGTCAAAACCTAGTTTAATGTGTCCGTCTTAAATCTACCTGTTGGCTCCACCTGTGGCTTCATTCACTGGTAAAAAGAAGACATTTAGGGGGCGGAGCTTCAGGTCCTGCAGTCAAAAGACAAAAACAGAACAAGTTCGTCAGCAAAAAACAAGAAGATACAACTGCAGCAATCAGCTCTGTGTAGTTTAACTTCCTTCAGTCCGGACACATCTGGATGATTAAATCAGATCCGGATGTGTCCGTCACACTCTCTGCATCAGCGATCTCTCGTATGACCGTTGTTGTCTCTTTGTGTCTCTGTAGGAATCCACTGTGGTCGATACATCACGTCTCACGGCTTGGCCCTGAACTGTAACACCGACATGTCGTGGTTCGAACACATCGTGCCGTGCGGTATCGAAGGTAAAGGAGTGACGTCGCTGAGCGCCGAGCTGCAGAGAGACGTCAGCGTGGAGGAAACCATTCCTCACCTGCTGGATGCCTTCAGGGACCAGTTCAACTGTCGGCTGATGGACGCACAAACACCTGAGACTGAGCAGGACAGCGGAACGTTGTCAGCGTAGAAACTAAAACATCACAGACGCTCTGTTTAAACATGTCTGACATCAGTTTGATCTCCACGTGTCCAGAACAGACAGACATCCTGGATCTCATGTACATGTTGGATCACACAGTTAGATAAGAATTAAACTTTAAACTTTACAGAAACTTATTTAAAAAAAATGATTTATTTAATTAAGTTTATCCCATTTATTTGTCAGAGACAATGAACAAAACATTCATCTGACACAAGCAGACTAACAGGGACCTCGTTATATATGATTATCTCCTTAAATGTCCATTTACAGTGATGACATCATCATGAGTGGGTGAATTAAAGCAGGATTTATACTTGTGCGTCAGCTCAATGCAAACCCTACGCACGTGAGCATTTATACTTGTGCGGTGGTGTGTCTGTGTCACTCTGCAGTTACACCTCCGGAACACTAGTTGGCAACAGGGTTTATGTGAATTACTGGAAAGTTTAGTTGATTCAACACACACATTAACGCACAGTTAACATGTTAAACACACATTAAACACGTTAAACGCACATTAAACACAGTTAACACACATTAAACATGTTAAACGTACATTAAACACACATTAAACACAAACGTGTTAAACGCACATTAAACATGGCTTAACAGAGACAGTGTCAAACACAAATCAGCTTCACTATAACTCGCAGCATTCACAAACACTTGTCTTTATCTGGACACATTTTTCCCACAAATACAACATGCTAACGTTATTAGCACAAGCCTATGGCATTTTACATTGTATAAATTAGCCTAGCAGCTAGCGAGCTCTTCCTCTACTCACATGAAGCCAGGAGCAACAGCAACATTTAACAAAGGTAACATTACAAACTTCAGCTCCATTACAACTCACAAGGTTCACTGACAAAACAACCGTCTTATACTAAACACGTTTTCCAAACAAATACAACATGCTAACGTCATTAGCACAAGCCTATGGCATTTTACATTGTATAAATTAGCCTAGCAGCTAGCGGAGGTTTCCTCTGCTCATATGAAGCCAGGATAAATCACACACAAGACTTAAAATGCTATTTTAGTGGAGGCTTTATTGTCTTCACAATTTATTGTTTCTTATCTGTGAAATTAAAGAAAAGTTTTGTTTCCACTTCCAACACAGACTCTACGCTGTACGGCATCGACGCAGAAGTATAAATCCTGTATTAGAGTCTCTTAAGAGAAAAGTTTGGGAGGGAAGTTTAACGATGTTAAGAAATCAAACTGCTGCTAAACCACACTGCCTTCACATACACAGTGTTTTTATATTTTACATGTCTGTTTGTACATCTGTTCAACAATAAAATCTGATGTGCATGGATTGTCTGTTGTGTATATCTATATAAACACACACACACGTCTATACTTATGCGTAACTTAGACCTGCTGTCCTCGTTCTTGGACGCTTTTTTTGTGGTAGCAAAAGCACAATAATGCATTAAAAACAAGATGGCAGCCAGCTCTGCCACAACAATGTGCCGACTGAACATAAACAGTTTTTTTCTTTATGACTCACTCATGACTATTAGAAACTAACCCAAAGTCCCCACATGAGGACATTGTCCCTGTTCAAAGATGATGCTTGATTTGTTTAATTATTTATCTACTAATCGACACACACCAGAACAAAATGTTAGGTCTCAGGAATTAGATGACACTTGACCCGAAGTGAGGATTATGTTCTTGAAAATTAAAGCACACCTAAATATTTAAACGACAGACACTTATTAGTTCTGATAGGTTGAAATATGATGTTAAAAACCATCATGTCAACACGTCAAAACCCGGAGTTTATTCTTTCATTAAACAAAAACAAAAACATGCTTTTATTTTACTACGAGACCGGAAATCGTCAGTGTTGCACTCTCCGGTATTGACGGTGTTGATGAACTTCATATTTCTGTAATGTCGAACTTTACCAAAGATTATTTACCGGGTTATAATCTCGGTTGAGGTGTCGTTGGTTGGCCGGTACCGGTGCTGTAACTTTAGCGTGTAGCTAAAGTTAGCCTCGGTGTGAGAAGTTAAAGGCCCACACTCAGAGTGGGAGAGACGAGCTCCTGAGAGGAGATGTGTGCCAGGTTCAGGGGCCGGTGGGGGCAGCCGACAGCTTGGAGCTAAACACGGCATCACTTCACAGAGCAGCCGGTGGTCAGATGGCTCTGCTGCACTGTTAGCTCGCCTGGCTCTGTATGTCTGTCAGCATGGGGGACAACAACGGCGTGAACGGGGACCTGAACGCCAACTCCAGGTGCCAGAGCACCGGCGACCCGCAGCTGGACAAGGCGGTGCACCAGTGGTTGACCTGGGACAAGGTGAGAGTCTGTCCGCCCGTCAGAGCGTGATGTTCAAGCCGCTGGGAGCTCGGGTCTGTGCGGCTGAACGTGTCCGGCTGTGCGGGGGGACCGTCACACCAGACCTCCCCTAAAAATCAGCATTTTAAGAAAGACGTTGCATATTCGCAAAGAGTGGATAAACTACTCATGATCATACTGCACTTCATAGATGATTATGATGGTCTGGTAAAATCGGCACACTAATAGTTTAGTAAAGTTGTACTTAATTTTAATTTAATAGTAACTTTGTTAGCTGAGTTCCGCTGCGTTGGGGGCGTGTAGGAATCGCTGGCGCAGCAGCTATAAAATCTAAATTTATTTAAAACAGGAGCTTTAAAGTTGAAACTTGATATGCCGAATTTTTCACTAGACCCACCCAGTTAAGACGATCCGTCAAAACATGCTTAATGTTTTAAATTCTGTTGTCATTATGAAATAAAATGTTAAATTGACAGATTTTGGATGGAAGCTCTGGGTATGGGCAGAGCGGCACGTGATGGCCGCAGTGCGGACCTGCAGGCCGGCGGTCTGGGTCGTGATGGAGATTAGTTTTGTGGGTTATCACACGATTAAACGGCAGCATGACTCAGCTGTTTTACAGGCCTGAGCAGTCAGCAGCAGCTCTGCTCTAATGATGAGTTATACTGATGTCAACCAGCCTCCATTCATATTACAGATAATTTAGTTTTGTCTGAACGCCAGTTTGAACCAACAGGGTGATCTTCACCTCCCACACTGAGTCACACTGAGTCCATGCGCTTCACATGTTCAAACTCACATATGAAGATAAATATGGGAACATATTACAAACCAGTTTACAGGCCTTTACACCAGTCTAACGGACTGGTAATGAAAGTAAATGTTATTTTTTAATACTGTAATGCCACCTTGGGAAAAATAAACAAATAAACAAAGCGAAGAAACAATTTCCTTACCAAACCTTTACAAGATGAAACTTTCAAGTGTCATGAACTCAACAAAAAAAAAAAAACAGCCTTAACAGTTACACTCAGAGAAAACCTGCAAGTCAACAGAGCACAAATATCGTCCAATGAAATGAAACTTCTGAATGTAAAGTTACAGTCAGTGGAAAGTATAAAGAATCAGCTGACTGTAACTTTACATTCAGAAGTTTCAGTTTATCAACATCCTCTGGTACAATCTGTAGTTTGAGCAACAGCCCTCCAGCCAGCCCTGAAGCCAATCAAAGAGCCAGCCATAGAGCCAGCCCTCAATCCGCTTCTATTCTATCTGTGTCATGGTGGAAGGCATATAGAAATGCCAAAGCTGAGAGGGGAGCAGAGATCTGGGTGCTGTAAGGATGTTGATAAACTGAGACGGCCCACTTCAGATTTATTTCCTGTATCTGCGTCATGTGGGTTTAGTACTTTGCATGATTGTATGCCTTCTATCATGGTCACAAAGAGTATAAACGCGGTTTGAGAAAGAGACCCGCCCCTTTCTAGGGCTGGCTCAGGGGCTGGCTCTTTGATTGGCCGGAGGGGCTGGCTGTTGCTCTAACTACACATTCTTGTATCCACCATCACACAAAGTGTATAGAAATGGATTGAGAGAGAGACCCGCCCCTCTCTATGGCTGGCTGTAGGGCGGGCTCTATGGCTGGCTGTAGGGCTGGCTCTATGGCTGGCTGTAGGGCTGGCTCTATGGCTGGCTGTAGGGCTGGCT